GCCAGCCTCGGCCTGTGGGCGATCTCCTCCGGCCGCGGCCCCCCGCCCGAGGAGGAAGATGCAGACCTTTCTGAAAGGGAAGCGGGTTGGCTACTGGCTGAGCGAGAAGAAAATCAAGAAGCTGAATTTCCAGGCCTTTGCCGAGCTGTGCAGGTAAGGGGTCGGGGCGCCGACGCCCGGGGACGCCGGCCGGAGCCCGGTGCAGTCCCGCGGCTGCTCGGGGAGGGTAGAGCCGGAGGAGAAGCGGCACTCGGGGGTCCGGAGCCCGAGTAGCCTGGTGGCCGGCGGGTGTGTGCCAGGGCGGCGATGTGGCAGGCACCAGGCTTCCAGGTGCACGGAGACCCCGGTGGGGAAGCCCCCAGGTGTCCAGGGCTCGGTGGGCGTGCTGCAGAGGTGGGCAGAGGAGGCTGGGGAGACGGGAACTCACCGGCTGAGCTAGCGGCTTAAGGTTACTTTCCGGACTGTTTTCTCCCTTGCCTTCTCCCCAATCGGTGCTGACCACCTACTGTGTGCCCCGCACGCACTGGGCTCACGAAGCTGTCATTTATTCGAGTCGCCGGGTTACGCCTAATTAAAGCGAGTAGCAATACTTGGTGTGTGCATGAGGATTTGCTGTCTCATTAGAGCCTTGGCACCAGCCTTGGGGATTAGCCCGGGTGGTGAAGGGGCCACGTGTTGGAGAGGGAACCGGGGGCAGAGCCCGGGGTCCTGCCAGGGAGTGGCTGCGCAGAGGTGCCCAGTCCAGTGCACGTAGCGTGGAATGGCTTTCCGCCATTTGAACTGCCAGCGGCCCCCACCCCCCAAGCTGGTGTTCTGTGGTGGAACCCTTGGTTTAATAAGCTCACATTCTTCCTAAATTACTCAAGTTTGCAGTCGAGGGTCAGGTACAGCTCACCTTGCTGTCGAATGATGGCTCTGCCTCAGGGAAGCACCCCCCCTCCCCCCCTGCACTCCCCCCTCCCCCCGTGGCTGACTCCTGCTCCAAGTGAAAGTCTGAGAATCTGCTCCTGACGCCATTCCCAGAGGATCCACTAGGTACTCTGGTGTCCCTGGTGAGTCCCCCAAACCTCTTGTAAGACATGAGCAGTCTGCTTGCTTATCACCTGGTGAGAGGAATGATGGGTCTTAGCTGGTCTCTGCAGGCAGGTGGGGGAGTGTGAGGAGGGGTTGGGGTCACTTCTGTGCCCCTCATGCCTGTCCCAAGAGCCTGGCTCTGTACCCGTCGGCCTTGGCAAGATGTCCCCTGCCTTCTTCCTGGCTGGCTCCCTGAGCGAGAAAGCAAGCTCTTCGGGGTGCCAAGGGGGACCCCTGAAAATGACCGGAAAATAGGAGAAACTCACAGGCATGGGTTTGAAAATGGACCCTTTGCACAACGCACCCCTGGACCTTGCTCCCCAGGTACTCCTTCTTGTGGAAAAGACCCCTAGAGGCTCTGAAAGGAGCCCAGGGGCTCAGTGGCAAAGTGCTTTGACTGCTAACTTGGAAGGATGGAGGTTCGAACTCAATAGCTGCTTTTTGGGTGGGGTCGGGGGTGGGGAAGACCTGACTATCTGCTCCCATCTAGGTAAGTCTTGGAAACCCCGTGGGGTGATTCTCTGCCCTGTCCCGTTGTTCCTGGAAACAGGGTTTAAGGCCTTGAAACTTGAAGAAACCGGTAAGCCCCTTTGGCAAGCCCAGAGGCTTGGGGTTCAGCTCTGCTCCAAGATGTTTCAGCCCCCCACAGTCTCGTGATCTTGGGGTATCCTGGTTATGTTACCTTGCACCCCTCTGCTGCGTCTGTGTATTTGTGGCATCCTGGGTTTGCACCGGAGGCATGAGCTTGTCATCAGCTTGGTATGCTACTCTCTGTAATTAGCTTCGAAAAACAGTCCTCGCCTGGACTGGCAGCTAGGCCCTCGTGCTGGCCCTGCAGATCCACTGCCCCCACCCCCGTTAGGCACCCCTCCAGTTATCTACAAGGGGGAGGGGCACAGCAGGCTGTGGTGTCAGGCGATGCTGCCAGAATTGGGGGAACCAGAAGCAAAGGCCTTTATACCTCCCACTGTGTCGTGCACAAAGACTCGTTTTTTTGGCCCAACTTGCTGGCTTTCAAGGGAAGGCAGAGGACCCCTGGGCCATTCTAGAACCCTTGGAAGCCCATTCCCCACTCTATTTCCGCCGAGGAAAGCTGGAGATGGCCCTGTCACTTACAGGAATGAAAGGGCCACATGAGAGTTTGTCCCCCATTTTCTTCTTTCTCACTTCCAGGGCAGCGCCCCCTGGTGGCCACAGGTCTAGACTGGCTGCAACAATCGTTAGGACTAGAGGCCAGAGCCCATTGGCATTACCTGGTCAGGTGTGAACGAGGGTACGATTTCAGTGGCTTGAACATCATCTTGGAGGGACAGTGGTATGTTTTTAGACATTGGGAACCTGGGGGTGAAACACTCATGCATTGATAGATGATGAATTTCCCCTGGATCCCCTAATGATAAAGTCCAGAGATGTGAGCCTGGCCGACTGGATGTTTGGGGCAGTGTCAGCACCGGAGAGGATGACCGAGTGGCCGGGGATGCATTGTTTAGTTGAGTGTCAAGCCTTGTAAAAACCGCAGAGCAGGAAGGGACGTGGGAGATGATCTCTTCCAGACCTTAGTTTTCACAGGTGGAGAAGCAGGCTCGAAACTTGTGCGCCTCTTCATGACACTTCTAGAATGGGGCCATCCGGTGACCTTGAGGCCTGCCCAGAAAGCAAGTCCTTTCTTTTTGGGACTCTGCTCTTTCCCTGGGGGTCCAGCCCCTACCATCTTGTCCTCACGGACCCTCTCCTTTCCAGGCTGAGCCGTGGTCTATGGAGGGTCCTAACTATGCTTTATTTTCTGGGGCGGTGGTGGTGGTAGTGGGGGCAATGATCGTGGGGGTGAGGGTGGGGATGGTGGCGGGGGTAGGGGTGGTGGCGGTGATGATGGTGGTGTCGGCCGTGGTAGGGCTGGTGGTGGTGATGGCCGTGGTGATCACTGTCCATGGCCTTAATGGGTGATTGGAGCCAGGTCCTGGAAAGAACTCCACCTGCGCGGATACCTTGCGGGGAGGCACAATGGCCAACCCCTTGAACTTGCTGGCGCCTTGGGCCTGGGCCTCTGGCTGTGAACAGATGGGCCTCTGAGTCAGCTTGTTTTCTTGGTCCTGTTTGTTCCCCTGGCCCTCCTCCCCGGCTTCCCCTCTCCTCGGGGGACAGAGCCCTGGTTGCCCTCTTTTACACTCTTCCACCCCACCCTTCCCTCCCTAACACGGAGCCCCTTGCCGCTTCCTCCCACCCACCCCCTGTGCGGTTTTATTTCAGGATGCCCAGAAGGGCCTTGAGGGGGAGAAACAAAGACAAAGCGCTGGTAATTGGGACTATAGGGGGTTTCTAGATCCCCAGGGTCCCCTTTTGGGAACACTGGCCGGCTGACCTAGCGTGCCCTCTGTCATCATCTCTGCTGGTCTCAGTCTCCCCTGTTCCCACCCTGCCCTCTGCTGCGGCTGCACTCGTGTTGCAAGAGGCGGTCGAAAGGCTCTCCAGTGCCCACACGCACACTTTGCTATAAGATTGGGTGATCGCCTGTAGCTTTTCCAGGGTTGGTAGCACCCAGGATAGTAACTCAGGGTGCCCCCCACCAGTGGACCTCCCTCTGTATCAGACTATACAGAGGCTATAATCATGCTTGCTATCAGTTTTAATCATAGCCTTAGAGATGGTCAGTGTAGTTGTGAATTGCGTTAAGTGGAGTGTTTCTTAGAAGCTCTGAATACTGACCAAATTGCTTGATAAAATCTTTCCATGTGGGATTACAGTATTGGATGCCTGTTGGATTTTTCTTTTTTCCTTTATTACTTGATTCTCAAAAGAGTTATTGATATAGGTTCACAAATACTACTTACCACGTGTTACAGTTAGCACTCTGAAAATACCAGCATCATTGGAAGCTGCAGCATGTACGTGAAGACCAGCATGTGCTCAGAGCACACGAGCGCCAATGCCGTTCTAAGCAAGCGCCATTACTCTCAGTTAATGAGGAGGACTCTGACCTCTGCACATCCCCAAACTCAAAACTCATTGTCGCGAAACATTCTGATCCACAGCGACCAGGAGGACTGACGAGAGCTGCTCCGATGGGTTTCCGAGGCTGTAAATCTTTCCAGGGGCATCAAGCCTCATTTCTTTTCCCCAAGGAGTACCTGTGGTTTTGAACTGCTGACTTTGTGGGTAAGCAGTCCAACTCGAACCCATCAGGGCTTCTTGACCTAAGCCCATGAGAAGGTTGAAGATGTAAATTATCGTAGGGTTTTCAAAAAAAAAAAAAAATTATCGTAGGGTTTCATCCTTGTAGGTATGTTGATAGATGGGAGCTAGGCTTATGAGAACCATTTCTGTTATTATAACTAGCCATAAATAGCAATATCTTAAATATAAAATAACGAAGTCCTGCTAAAAGTACCGAACAAAAGTGTGAAAGCAGGTTGATATTTTGGGGTGATCCCCTCTGACAGGGTCACCTGGTGCAGCTCGCTGGTGCCCACATGGAGCTCGAGCCTTGTGGCACCCAGGCTTGGTGCCAGGTGCAGCGGGGGCAGAGCCCCAGCCCTTGTGGAGCGCAGGCTGGGCTGACAGAACACTATCTGGGCAGTGTGCCTGGGCATGCCAGCCCTGGCCCTCGGGCCTTCATTTCTTCCTTTAAAATGGGACCATCTTGAAGGCCTCTCTGTTTCTCGGGCTATGCTGGAATTCTCTGGAGAGAGGAGGCTCTTTTCCAGGGTTAAATGCTACCAGCCTGTGGGTGGGTGTTTTTTTTGTTGTTTGTTTGTTTTAATACTTGGATTTGGCACCACACTGAGGGGTGGGGGCGGGAGGAGGTGCTAACGTAGCCTTCCTCTGCAGCTGTGCACCAAGAATATCTGTAGCCTTGCCGCGTAAACAAACACTTGTCCCCGGGCGGTGCCAGCGGTTAACATGCTTGGCAGCCAACCAAGAGGTTGGAGTCCACCCAGAGGCCCCTCGGAAGAAAGGCCCGGCGATCTACTTCCGAGAAAACCAGCCATGGAATCCCCTGGGAATGACAGGGCCGCCTGACTCAGAATTGACGGGAGGGCAACCTGTTAAAAAAGTCTTTTTTTCTTTGAACCAGCCCTGGT